GGGACACCTTGGGCACTGTTGCCTTTCAGCCAAGTAGAATTAGTAGCTGACTTTCTTCTATGCAAGATCAAGGCTGATGCAAGGCTAGCAGGTTAACATGATTAATGTTCTCTCAGTTCTGTGAGCTGCTAGGTCCTATTAATTTTCAGGTTAATAATGTTAGTGGCAGACATTTCTACTATTCTGTTATTTCTACAAAATGTCTCTGAAACTCAGTTCATTATCTGCTTTGGAGCCACCCTGATCTTCACTCAATAATATATGAAGATTAGAGTTCAATCACAATGTTTTTTTCATATATAAATCCTATGTGTGCATCATAAAAATATCATAAAAACTATTTTTAATTGACTGCCACAAACTACAGCAAATAAAAAAAAAAAGAAACAATAACTAAGATAACCATATTTAAAAGGGAAGAATTAAATACTCTGGGATTTCTGTGTTCTTGGTGCATATTCTTATGTACATGATTCATATACTGGATGTTTTATGTGTCTTGAGAGACTCGAAAAAAGGCAAACTTGATTTCCCACGAGACAAATATTTCCCATCCTTCTTAGGCAGATAAAAAGCACAAAGTATAAACAGATTAAGCTCTATTTTCTGAATCAAGTACCATTTTGCAATTTGCTTCAACAGAGCCAGAATTCATCCCTGATTCTTTCCTGGAATCCACCAAACTACCTCATCTCCAACCATCTCCCTGTCACAGCTACTTCTCCAATCAGATGACACTTATATCCACAGCAGTTCTGCAGTCCTGACACAAAGATTCAGTTGACCATACGTAGGGATGACAACAGTCATTTTTCTCTCTCAGCTGACATGAAGAGCTTAAACAAAGATCTTAATATGAGTGCATTTAGAGCCAATTATTTTGCATATATTTATTGCCCAAAGGTCTAAGCAGATGAACAGAGAGCATAAGATCTCCACACACATACAAATGAATCTAAATATTTCTTTTTGAGAAAAACATGAAGTACGCACACTCATTCTCTCAGACGATCGTTACTACTAAATAAACACTGGTAGAGACAGTAACAGAGAATATACTGAGAGCAACTATTGTTTTATGTGCCCGTCTGTTAATGGGAACATGTTTACCTGTTATGTGTACAACTTGTCCTTCTTACTACAAGGAAATCCTCTAGCATTCAGAATCAGTGTTTAATTCTCACTTAAGAATTCCAGTGCTGATAAAAATAAGAGTGTATTTATTGCAGTAGAAACTTTGAATGTATACACTCTGAAAGATAAGTTGCAAAGTATGCGTTAATAATCAAGGGGAACAGGCTTCTTTTCTTGTTTTGCCTGTAGGATTTATTCCTTCAACCCTTTGTTAATGCGACAATCAGACAAATTACATGTTCTGTATTACTTACAGAGCTGACAACTCAATAAAAATGAATTACGTGGAAAAATCCTTCATGTGGAAAACCTGAATGCTGATGCTCTACACACAACCTACTTCTGAAGAACTACAGTGGTGAAGGTAAAAGATACAATTTGAAGTATATACTGAATGTATCATTACTGCCATTAAGATGAACAGCATGTCACTTAGGAAATCCTGCAATTCCTGCCTACTTCCCCAGTTGTGGGGTTTTCTTGTTGCTGTTGTTGTTGTTTTGTTTGCTTGTTTTTTGTTGTTTTGTTGTTGTTGTTGTTTGTTTTTTTTTGTTGTTGTTGTTGTGGTGGTGGTGTTTTGTGTTGGTTTTTTTTTTGCCATGCTACTCAGAGACAGAAAACACTGACAGACAGACCGAAGAAAAAATTCTAATTCTGAGGAATGTTCTATCCGGCAGCATTACTCACCACAGTATTTCCATGTTTTTTCAGCATGATATGCAGTTCCAACATATTTGCACAATGGCTGCCTCAAAATATGCAAATACAAGTATTTGTCAGGCCAATAAATTTCAATTGGAAATTTTAGTTCCTATTTAAATCTTTATTTCTAACATCTAAACTTGATAGTCCACAATTTAAAGAATAGCAGAACAGTTATGATTTTAAAATTTACGCAGAAGAAAATGAAAACTGAATTTCATATTTAAGTAATCATTAATTCTTTATTCAAATTGCAGTTTTTGAAAAGTTTCTGATACAACGCTGTTGAATCATAAACTCTGTCAAAACTCATCTTTGCTAGAATATTCTGTAACTAGCTACCTACAGTTTTAAGCAAATTAAATATCTTCCAAAAAGTTAATTGTTTAATGCATATTAATTATCTAATTATATGATTTCACTAAGCTAAGCAATTAGCACCTGATTGTGTAATTCCATATTTTATAGCTGAAGTCTGCTACATAATTAAGAAAAAGGTAAATTTTTAGCAAAGTACATTATAATGTACATTGGGTAAGAATAAGACAGTGACATTTGTGAGTCACATACATTGTTTTGAAATGGAAAAGTGCCTAGCTCTGCTGTGAAACAAGAGGGCATGCTATTAACAACAACTTGATCATTAAAATGTACGGTCTCTTCAAACCTTTTTATGTCACTTGGTATTTCTGGATGCAGTGACTATGTATTTAAAGATACAAGGTTCTGATTCAGAGAGGACGTGAAAATTATGAGAAAGCTAACCACATAAAGAAGGATTCTACATCAAGCAGTCGTTTTGTTAGAACGTTATGAAACAGCGTGATTTTGTTTTTGAAGAAAACCAGACTTATTCTCCAATTTCAAGAATTTTAAACAATTCAAATTGATGGAAAGCCTGGGATGGGGGATGCAACTGCAAGTCACAGTCATGTTTTAGTTTCTATTGATAACAACACATAAGCAGATTTTTAAAAGAATATTTTTAGTGATATTTCACAGAAGCAACTCTACATACAGGATGGTGGGTGAAAATAGTAATTAAATATAGTTTTTAAATGACATACTTGTGCAAATTTTGAGATAGGATTTTGTGTTCCACAGTCACACGTGGAACCTAAAATATACATCAGAATAATTCTGACTGCCTAATGCTTGTCTACCCATGTGACTAATTTTGAAGATGTACTTCTACAGAAAGCTGTCAGTTTTTAAAAAGATCATCAATAAAAATGATTAAGCAAAAGGACACTTTTTATCTTCTCCACAGATAACCCCGTGTTTCATTAATAAAGAGAAGGGAAGACAGATCACCCAGTTCTTCTATCCGGTGTTTCTCTAAGAACATCAGGTATAACAACTGTAAGCTGGCGAAGGATGTGTTCAAGAGTCTGAAGACTGCAGAAAACAAAGAGCAAGACTGCACAAAGGGAGTTGTAGGGATAAGTCCAACATGGTCATTACAAATCTGGTATGCTAGCAGTCTCATGAGACATTCTACGAGTCACCCTGAAAATATTCTAATTGAGATCTGAGGCAGGAAACTCTACTTTTGCACATGCTCAGACTTGCCCTGAACAGTGTGAACTGCAGCCGTGCCTGCATTTTGAGGCTCTGCTATGGGAAGCAATGAGGAACAAGGCATTGCCCTCTATCACGTTGATGTTTATACGATATCACCACCAATATGGCCACTGTGCAACAAAGAATGCAAAATTTATACAGGCAGAGAGAAAAAAAAAAAAAAAAAACAAATCATGAGGATCAACTAAATTAATCAAGGGAACCCATTTTAGAAAGCCAGGGTCCATGTACTAACAGAGATAACTCTCTTTGGACCTCTTTGGAGGCAGTTAACTCTTCAGACGTGCAATATAAAAACATGCCCCAGATCTTAGCATTTCTTTTTAGCTAGTTCATGGGCCTCAGAAGCTAACAATTAAAATCAGCAAGTTCCAGCCTCTAAAGTGGGATATCCTATGTACAGTAGAAATTCATTGTAATCCAGTAATTATGACTTGGAGGTCACATATCTCAGTAGTGAAGTGGAAGAGCACTCATAACAAGAATAACATAACTGATTCAGAGATATCTGAACTATTAGTCCTATATCATAAACTGAATTATCTTCCTCTACACACTTAGATGGTTCGTTAGGTATGTGATTTCTGCAGTGTTTCTGTAGTCTGTATATTACAAAGTATCTATCTGTCTGATCTGTGACACTCCAGAATGTTTTTGTTCAGCACCAGATGTGGCTAGTCAACTACAAGAGGCTTGTAAGGATAGAAGCCAATAAATACAGGTTGCTACTAAAAGTAATGCCTCCTATTTGTTTCTACAGAAAACTACAAGTAACTACCTACTACAGTAACATTATCTGATAGAGCAAATTCTCTGTTAAGAACACTGTTTCTCAACATAGTCACCACTACTGGTTATGCATTTTTTGCCAGCAATGAACAAAAGCCTTCATGCTATCTGGAACATGGCTTGTCTTTCACATCACTGTCACCACTGTAGAAATACACCACCCACTGATCCCACTGTGCTCACGTCCACTGTTTGGTGTCTATAAACATTCAGCAAGCAACAATAAAAGTCAACGGGTGTAATTTTTTTCCATGTAGAGGAATTCCATTACACACCTTTGTTTCATATGCACTTCCATGTCAGAAGCCATTTGGTCAGACTGCCCTTTGCTGCCATCTGTCACACAGCAACAACATGTAAAGGAATATTGGTGGGAAGGTTCAAGCTCCACTATCATACCACCACCATCTGTCTCTGGTGTCATGGACCAGAATAATAAAACAGGAGGCATTCTTTTCACCATAGCCCTCTGCTGCTAAATCATCTGTCCTACTTGTATTTGAGCTTTTGAAAACTTTAGAGTAAAAAGACTTACTAAATCCATGCATATTTGTTTGTAGGACTTGATGATAGAGCACTGTGAAAACTAACAAATTTCCGCCACCGTCTGTATTTGAACATTACAGTGAGAAAATTTTCTTCTTAGTTTTAAAATAACTGATAACATTCTCCTCTTCCATTCACATTTAAATCCTCCAATCAGTAAGTTTACAGAATTACAGTTATAGAATTGAATTTCAGAACTCCCAGAAGACAGAGACAATGTAATACATATAAAAATAATCTCTCACCTTCTAGATCTTCCTTTTCAAAATGAGTTTTGAGAATGGACCGAGTTCCTCCTCTATCCACAACAGCTTCTTCATCATTTCTCTGCAAAAGGAAAAAAAGACAGGTAAGCTGCTTCCCACTAGGAATCTATTACCAAGACTGAAGATTGCTATGAAACATGGATATGCTTACTCTTTACTCTTTCAACTCAGGAACCAAAAGTTTTTCGGAACTTCACTTTCATTATTAAAGTCTATTCCTCCTGTGTCAGTTTTTACTGAGGTATGATTACAGCTAATTTTGACATAAATTAGTTCTGCTGAAACATGCAAGACGATGAGTAAACTGCACTTACTGTGAACTACAAAAAATATGAGTCAATGGGACAGTGAAAGAAATGAAAAGTGTCTGGCTGAGGTAGCTTTATTCTTTAGCTTTATTTATATTGTGTTCTTGAAGAAAGAGATTGTATATGTATTTTTGTTTACATAATATGAAATATACTGAGCTACAAGGAGAATTCCCAAATTATTAGCACTAACACTCCTTCCACTTTGGCAAAAACAGAGAATGATATTCAGAGGCAGTATGATAAGAAAAAGAACATTAATACTATGAAGACAAGTGGCCAGATTTACAACTTGCAAAAAACAAGCTGCAGTTACAATGAAGGCAAATACTATACACTAACAACATAAAATAAAAAATCTATTCTTCCACTGGAACTCGTTTTATGCCTAATTTTTACTGTGCTCATATATGCATTGTAAATGTATTCTCTACTGCACTCTAAACATATTATGCCATGCATTGTGCTCTAACTAAAAAGAGCTACAGGAAGTAGTCACTTCAGGCACCTCAGGCAAGTATCAAAACTCTCTCAGTAGAGAAATGTTTTGGGAAAAAGTCAGCAACAAGGCACTGGATGCTGTGCAAAACAAGTTGGCTTTGCTAAAAGCCTAACATCACCAATAGTGAAAGAGAGGAAGGGAGGGAGGAAGGCAGGAAGGAAGGCAGGAAGGCTATAATTCACAAGATGATCCAGAGTGGTTTCCAGTAAATAATGATGAAGAAAAAAAGTGTTAACTATACAAAAGAAATTAAAAGGCAAGCAGGGAGGCTTATTGTTTTGTCCCACATGAATTTCTTTACTATAAGAGTGGTGAGGTGCTGGAACAGGCTGCCCGGAGAGGTTGTGGATGCCCCATCCATAGAGATGTTCAAGAGCAGACAGGATGGGGCCCTGGGCAGCCTGGGGAGGTTAGTGGCCCTGCTATGGCAGGGGGGTTGGAGATCATGATCCTTGAGGTCCCTTCCAACCCTGCCCATTCTGTGATTCTGTGAAACTATCAGTTAATATATCAATACATATTTCTCATTAGTGGAAAGGTTTTAGTAAGGGATATATTAGAACTGGAACTGCATGATTTCTATGTATAAAATTGGTATCTTAATGAAAGTCTGAGACAAGGGATTTGAATACCAGTTACACGCTGAATATACATCTATATATAGAATGCAATAGAACATAACAAGAAATTAAACCACATGAGAACAAATCCTTAAAGAGCAGATGCCCTAGGCAAAAAGATTCACATCTAGAGCTAGATGTCATAAATTCTGGATCTAAGTTTTTTGTTTCAGGCTTCTCTCTTTTTTAAAAATAGCTGTCATGCTGTAGCTATCTTATATAGAAAAATCCTAGGAATGTGTTAGCACCAAGCATTTCGGCTGCTAAAGCAAAAGACTGTGAGCATTACATTTGTCTTTATTAGAGCTTTCTAGTAGATAATAGCAAATAACTGAAGTCTGACGTAGAGAAAAGGCTTTCTATTCAAACTGCTCAATTATTTAAAATTCACAAAAAATATATTAAGATGCATCAGAACAGTATATCACACAAACAATTTGATCATATTAGGTAACATTAAACCATTATTTAAGGAAGTCAGACTTGGCATGTGGGTCAGGCTGGCACAATGTCCATGGGTGAATGGGCAAAGAGGATGCCAAAGGCCAGGTATTACAGCCATGTCAGAAGTAGAGCTGTTCTAGTGTAAGACAGCCACCAGCATTTTGCTGTTACTGAAAAGGCACTATGGAAGTAAACTTAGGGGAATTTCTGTAACAGGGAGAATATTAAATTACAGGGAAGTTTAAGGCTTAACACATCATCTAACTAAACTATATACAAACTAATTCATTAATATTTATCAAAATATGCTCATACACTTTGACTTCTCCTTTCCCATGTGTTCAATTTTCAGCTTCTGGCAATCTCTTCCTCCTCTGTCTCCTCTTGTAATGTCACAGCAAGTCTCAGCCTTGCCTCATTCTCAGAAGTGGGTTTGTTCCATTAATATTACAAGGAAAAACAGCTTAACTGGGAGTTTTGTGTTGTTGCCAATTCACTCGTCAAACTCTGAGAAAAGTCCAATTAAACAAGCCTTGCACTGTGCACTTTCACTTCCCAGGGAGCAGTATGAAAGCCATCTTGCATTTACCAGCACAAGAGTCGTATTGCACTTAGTCCAGAAATAATTTCTGTGATTCCTGTGCTGCCTACTTGTAGGAAGGAATAAGGAAGTGAAGGACTCACTAGTAGTTTAACACAACTAATCTCATTTTGATGGAAGCACTATAGAAATACAAGTAGTAATTGCGGCAGATTCTCTCCACTTTTAGATGATGATTAGAGACTAGAAACATAACTTCAATTGGTAATGCCCTGCTTTCTATTAGGATGTCACGAAAACTAAGATATTATTAAATGTTGTAATAAGAAACTGAAAGTATAGGCAAGAAGAACTATAAGACAGTCATGAGAAATTTAATGCATGCTCTGGGTGGCTTTTCATGTACAAAATAGCCACCAGCCTCCACGCTAATATCCTCATAGTATATGAAAGCCATGACTTCACTGCAGTTTTGCCCACCACTTTCAGTGTGATCAAAGAGGGGCATGAAGATCTTTTTCATAACCCTCCCATGTTCATGTCAGAATTCTGCTGCTTCTTCAATTCCCCGTTTGAATATGATGAAGGTCAGAAATGTTACATGATGCACAGGTCTGCTAGTTTGGTGTTTAAGCCATACTGAACTACTGGAGCAGTCTGCATACAAATTTATGGACACACTGACCAGGTAGGAGTCTTTGGTACTGTCCATTATTGCAATGAGTTGCTTGCTAAATCCACCAAACACTGTGGTCTACTGTTTAAAGCATGAGAGGAGGATCCAGAATGTACCCAAGCGCTAATCCTGAATCTGTCACTGACTCGATGTGATGGAAAAGTCACTTAATCTCATTGCCTCAGCTTCCTCATCTGTAAAATAGGGACAATAATACTTACTTATCTGCCTTCCTCACTGATCAGCTCTGTACCACAATTAATATTCATACAGCATTTAAAAAAATTGTAAAGCACTACAGAAGTGCAAAGTCATTCAATTCAGAAATATGTACAGTGTATGCAATGTAAAGAGATAATAGAACACTACAGATTGGTAAAAATCAACATTTAGACTTTTTCTAAACAAAACATCAAGTTATACTACCACCTTGTAATGCAGTGCACAGCTATGACAACTGTCTGGGAAAAGGTTATGATATAAACAAGTACATTGGGTTAACTTTCTTTTGGTCTAATCCAAGAACAACATTAAAGAAGCCAGTGAAATTGCATTTCTCTGGAGCTGCAGCCAGAGTGCAATAAATGTTTAAATAAATATAAATATATTTAGAAACAACCTAACATTTTTCTCTTTCGAATTATATTTGTTAATATTCTGTGTTATCGCAGAATGGTTTAATTAAAACGTAGGCAGGAAACAGTTTCCCTGAAACAGTAAAATATCTGCAAGCACACAAAGTAAGAAGAACAAATAACGTATCTGGAATAGAAGGGCAAGGAAAAGCTGAAGCATTCATGTGGAAACCACGGGCTCCTTAGAGACCAGGGCTCAGCAACTCTGCTCAGCTCAGGATTTCACCTTTTGCATTTTCCAAATGAACAGTGAAATGACTCACCACTGCACATACCTCAGAGGAAAAATCTATTCTAATGAAAAAGTGTTATAAATACTGACATCACAGTTTTTGTTTCTTGATACTAGTTTTAACATATTGGTAAGTACAGAAAAGCAGAAAACAGAGCAATAACTCTGCATCATTTACATTGCAACTGCACATTTTTAAATTGAAATATGTATGTGAAGTTGCTTATTTTTGAACAAAATTAAAAAGAAATAAATTGTCTTAGATATATTTTATTTCTATTTTTTGTATGTGGTCATGAAGACTGAAGGTTGTAGTAAGTGCTAGGAATACAGATTTTCAACACTTAGATGAACAAATTATAAAGTGAGGTCACAACTCTTGATAGTATTTGTAAGTATACTGGTGAGAAGTAACAAAAAACTTCATGGTTTTGAAAGCTGTAACAAACACTTGAAGTGCCTTTCCACACCTAAAACCATTTTAATTAATGAAGAAACCGCACACTCAGAAAAGCAAAGAAATATCATTTTATAGCAGATATTTGTGGGTGTTTTTTATTTGCAGCAGTTATAACTGTGCAAGCCTTCAATACTCAGTATCTCAGTTACGTTAGATGTCTGAGCAAAAAGAAGAGGAAAGTAACTTCTTTCAAAGATGTATCCAAGCAAAAGCATATAAGAAATATTTTTAGACATGTTAGGTGCTAAGGTAGATGCACAAACCTGTAGAACTTCAAGGTATTTCTAGATGATGGAATTAGGATGCACATTTTATGTATTTATTTACTAAAAAAAGAAAATGTATGGTCTTAAAAGACACTTGCATACAGCATAAAACCATCTGAATATTGCACAAACATTTACTGAATATCATCTGTGCTACAGTAAATAAGATAATAATGGTTTAACAATTAACATACATGCTAATTTAAAAAATTATCAAATAGTCAAAAGAAACATTTTGCTGTCTTTCCTTTGGTACTCTGTTCTACTAATATATTTGGTGCTAATATATTTTAGGCAAGCAAAACCTAGAATTTATTTATTTATTTATTTATTCATTTATTTTTATCCCTCTTCCTATCTAAATTTCCTTCACAGAT